TGCGCTTATTGGTGTCGGGGTATAACTTTAAATAAAAAATATTTCTTAACTACAAAGATAATTTATAATAAAAGACAAATAATGAACTAATATTTTATTAACGTTCTTAAGCTAATGTTTTAATTATGTAAATTATAAACAATCTTAATAAAAGTAAATTAAAAGCTTTCCCGTACAGTAACTCCTTTACAAAAATATAGTTAAAAAAAACACAAAACAAAAACTCTTTCTGTTTTCTTTTTCTTTTATATCGATACTTATATTAACAACATTATATTCAGTATATTCTGCTTACTATAAACGCTTTGGATAATACGAATATAACGATAAAATTACAGAATGGAAAAGTAGGTACTTAGAACATAAATCTAAAATTATAGCTAAGCTTAATAATTATACGCCGTTTACTAAATATATATACTGCATGATTCCTGCAAGTGCAGGAAGATATTCGTATAATATGAGTGCACATTTTTCACAGCATTTACAACATACCGATCTGTATTGATTTTATGACAAACATCAAAGCGGGCATGGACATACATTGTCAACATTAATTATAGAATAATATAACCCCTACAATGGTAAATATTACATAGGTAACGCTGCCTCCGTGTTTGGCTTTAAACATTCTAAAGTGAATTCGCGTGTATTCGAATTCATCGTCGAAATAAATATGACGTAATGCCAGTAATGACTTGTAAATAATTTAAATGAAGGAACCTACGTAAGTACCATTGAGCTATTATGTACTACGTACTAGAGGCGACACTGCATTCAGCTACTCTGTTCCACTCAACTGCGGTGCATACACCGCACTTTAATTAGTCACTCGCTAGGCGCTTGTAGAGTTGTCACGTGATGTGTTGATTTAAAAAAATCTCTTGATAAAAATATGCCGTCGTGTGTACTTAGATATTGTACAAATAATTCAAAAAATGTCAGTAAAAACCAAGGAATTACTATTCATCGGTTAATAAGATACTTAATCAATAAAAAAATATTATATATTAATAATAAAAGAAATTATTCCTAAGATGCCATCTCGTGTCATGGAATATAAATTATGAAAATAATTTTTTCAGATGCGACATTTCTGTGGGTACCTAAGTATAGGACGAATATATTATTATACAGGTTTTTTTTGTAGAAACATATTTAAGTTATCATAATTAGGCTAAATTTTTTATATTCAAATCTGCTCATTATTTTTTTATTTTATTTTTAGGTTTCCACATCAACGTCAAAGTGGAATAAATTCGTCCATTTTTAACTCTCGCGTGCCCAGCATTTATGAACGACTCTTATTCTAGTGAAACAATACTAGTTTTTACGGAATTTATCGCGTATATTTAACTTTTTAAATACCCGACGTTTCGAACGCTTTACAGCACTCATGGTCACGGGCGGGACTGAGATGTTCAACGTCCATATGTCATAGTTAACCGCGGTTACCATAGATTAAAATTTAACTTTTGACTTTTGAACTCTTATTCTAATTTAACTAAATATAATTGTAATTTAAATGTTATATTAATAAGTTTTGTTAAACATACATTTAGTATGTTTTTTATATTTGACATAGATACCTTTTAAAATATTGAGATAAAAATATCATTAAAATGTAATTGTGATATAATATTATGTAATATTATATTAAATATATAATATAATAAATATATAAATATTGTTCTGATGTAATTTACCCATTAACATACATCTACTATTACCTACTACCTATGTTTATTCTATGATGAAAAAACCAAGGAACAATTTTTTGTTTGAGGTAGCTGTTCTAGTACGCAAGTACATATTACTTCAATGGTAAGTACATAAATATTTTTACATAATATGGAAGTTACCGGCATGTCAATTTTATACAAGGTACCTCACCACTGAAAGGTAAATATTTTTTCATAATGTATGTATAAATATTTAAAAATATAATAAATATATTAAGATTATTATTAATTATTATGGGTCGGCTCGACCGGGGAAGGACCACGCTCTCACAGAATACCAGCGTGAAATAGTAGCTTAATGCTGCTGTATTTCGTATGGTGAGTGTAGAGAACCGGCGACCCATTTTACTGGAAACGAGGCATTCCATCTTAGTCCTCACGGGTGACAAAACATCTGCATTTTGATTCGTAATCGAGGATAGATGTAGATGTCTATGGGCCACAGCAACCACTTACCATCAGGTGGACTGTGTGCTCGATTGTCACCCTATCCTATAAAAAAATTAAGATGTTACCTGATAATAGAAAATAATTTATTTAATAATAAATGCGTATTTATTCATAGAAATCATATTAAATTTACACACAGAGACACATTCATAGACACAGACATTACACACACATTGCACAGTGCACATTCTTTATAAAGTCCAATAATATTAATTTTATAACATGAATTTTCTTTCACGACAGTAAGTGCAAGTTATAACAAATAACGTTAATATATTTAATAAGAATTAATTTGCTTTTTTTAGCCGTCATTCAGACAAAGGTCGTTTGCAATTCGGTATGCGAAGTAGCACGTGCGGTTGGAGTACATCGATTTCTTACGATCTGTCCAAAAGTGGTCCTAAACTGTCGAGACATAGAACAATAGAGAATGAAGTTGATTGCACCATTTAGAAGTGCTAACGCATCCATTAACTCTCCAAATAAATTGTAACAGCGCTTGAAGAAGCATCTACCTAGAACACCGCTCATCAAACCTGTGAAATAAATGTATTATACGTTATAAGAATGTCACATCTAAAAAATAAATATGCACTGCACTAACAGCGCTCAAGTTTGCTTCCTGCATTTAATTTTTAAATTTTTATTTAATAAAAAACTACTTGAAAACAATAAAAAATAACTTTAAGGTGACACCGTGAAAAAATGCACCTCCTTTCATCGAATAGTATAGGACTATCACAACACTGAAGAAAGTGGAATTTTGATATAGGTAAATTCATGTCTTTATCTTGAATTTGATTGTTCAAAAACACGATTGTATAATTTTGACTCGTTCATAATTATTTGCGAAAACACCTCTAAAAATCACTATAGTTGAAATTACAACGAAATTACTTAATCTATATGCTTGGGAATCACTCAAATATATTCATAACATCAATATTCATAATTTACTTGTTCATTATTTTGATTACTTAATAATTTTAAAAAAATCTAAGATTTTGACAATTTCTAAGCGCTTTTAATCGTCGCGGGCGCTACGCAATTTAGACTTTATGACGGCGTTTTTTTCAAGTTTTTATAGAAATTATGTATTCACTCGCATCAGTACGGCGATAGCCACTTTTTCGATGTGTCGTCTTAATCTACCTAAAATAACCTTCTATGTTGCAATTCCATAATATGAGGCCGAACTTGTGCGTTATTATTGTGACGGCGTATTATTATTAATAATAAATTATAATTTATATCTATATAAAGCCTTCTAATTGACGCCACACACGGTCAGTTCAACTGATCATTCCAACTGATCGGTTCAAATTAAAACTTGTTGATATTTTTTTAAATATTGAATTTTCGATATATCGATAATTATAAACATATCAACATCGAAGTTTTATAATATAAGTTTATTTATCGATATATCGATAATCCAATATTTTAAAAAATATAAACAGTTTTAGTTTAAACCGATGAGTTGAATGATCAGTTGAACTGACCATAAAAATATCTTTAAAATATTTTAAACAATTAAAATGCATTCCAGAAGCATGATGTTAAAATACGTTCGATTATATTATTTTATAGTAACGGCTTAAATTTGTTTTTAAATTCTACTAAAAATATTCAAAATGTATTAAATAATAGAAATAGAAGTCGATTATATTACAATATATTACAAACAAAAGAGAAATAACATTTGTAATATATTGGAAAATTATTGAGTGTGTTATACTACTGGGGACTATTCATTTTAAGGAAGTTACCATAGACGCATACCCATGGTTGTACATATACGAGTATATGGAGTGGTCAGTAAAAATAACTAAGTTACTAAACAAACACAACGTAAATAAGAGTCCTAAGTAAGACGATCACGCCATAAATATATAATAAACGTCCTATAACTAAACCATTATTTGGGAAAGATCAATATATATTACAGCATATTTACGTAAATTTTATCTTATAATATACGGCCTTTTAATTTTTATTTATATATTTGGTGGGGGGGGGACGTTACATCATGTTGCAAGCTGTTTACCAGCATGATATACTGTCTCGCTCTACTAAACATATCAAGCTTTTAGAGCTTTTAGAGGCTTATTTAGCCTTCCTTTTTAATTGTTACTTTCACATGTAACCGAAAATATTATTTGATTTATGAAATGTTTCCTTAGATTTTTCCTTTCACCATTGGGTACGTAGTAAATTAGCACTAATGCTAACGGGAATTGAATATAGTTTCTTCTCATACTATGGAATATTAAGGGGATATAGTAAGTCAGCTCAAATTCTAATTTCGCCCTCACTTCCCCGCGCGTCGTATGCTATGTACCGACATGTTCGTTATTACTAATACTGTAAGTAGAAAGGTCGTTAGATACCTATTTCATTAGGTTTATCGTATTTATGCCTGTTTCATAACGCCAACCCAGTTGCTTCTTATTTTTATCACGGTTATTTCCCATTTTAATTTTACGTCGTCCTGTTGCGTAATGTGTATTCTGATCGTAAGCGACACAACTTCTTCCTTCAAAAGCCTAAGCGATACTAACTGGGCGGCAGAAAACTAGCTTTAAGACGCCGATAGTTTAGGTAATTTTTTTTACAGTGAAAATAATGGTATTTTAAAAAAAGTAAATAACATAAGCACTGCTTTATAATTAGTTCAGTTAGAATGCAAAGTTTCATGATCTTATTTAAAGTATTTTATGAATAACAGCGGTTTATTGATCAGTTTGGAGGTAAATTTGGATTTTTTTTCTATCGAGAAAATTTTTCGGAATTGTGTTTTCATCTATATAGTCCTTAACATTAATCCTCAACTTTACCATATATTTATTTCAAAAATAATGCTGCAATACTTTCGGCATAACGGAGGATCTTGCTAAGCCATTTGAGGTTATATTTCCCCTTTAAGCCTATCTAAGCATAAATGTCGGTTAGGGGTGCCCTTAATTTGGCCAATTCTTATTATTTCGCGTATTTTGTCTATAAACTTCCGCCTAGAGCGTCCCTTTTATCGCATTTAATTCACTTCTCTTTATATTTTTCACATTCGAATGCTTTGTACCCACGATTAATGGAATACTATGTCATCATTACAGCCCTTCACAAGTCCACTGCTGAAGATAGGTCTCCCCCAAAGAATACCACAAATGACGGTTCTGAGCCACCTGCATCGATCGACTTCTTGCATGTTTTACCAGGTGAAGTGAATCCATATAGTGGGGACGCCTTACAGTTTGTGCGACGGGTACGAGGCTATCTCGAGAACCTTTCTTCCCCAGCGGTTGTTGGTTCTTCGAGCTATATGGCCGTACCATTGCCAATTCAGCTTATGATATGGTATTTACATAAACATAAAAAAACAATACCGGATTTCATGTGAAAGTAACGCGGAAACTAGTAAACTAATTAATATATATATATATATATATATATATATATATATATATATATATATATATAATGGTTATGATGTGAACAACAGGAAGTCTTAAATAGATAAATTTAAAAGTAAATTTGATTTTCTTTATCGAATCATTTAGTTTTTTAAACATTTTTTTATTAATAAAATTAACTTGACAACTTTAAAAGTGCAAACTCAAAAAGGCTTTTAATAAAACGCTTATAGAATTTTATCATTTTAAGTCGTTCACATTTATTTTTGTAATTTCAAAAATTCGCGATATGTGTATGATACGCTGTTGGTTGATTTATAAATCTTCAGCGATATTATTACGCTTTGATCCGTGACATATGAATACCCATCACAAGAAAGGTTTCAGCAATGGAAAGGGATAGTTGAAAAAAAAAATTAGAATATAAAATCGACCGTGACCCAAAGGAGTTTTTAAAAGTATACGAGAGGAGGTTACTAAGTTCGCGGAATGGCGGGGTGGGCGAGAGTGAGTTTACTCATCTAGGTATATAAGTATTATAATGCCGTCTGAAGATAATTTCATACGCTCTTGTTCTATATTTAAATCTGGATACTACGCTAGTAGCTCGACCTCTATCCTGCACTTGCTGATTTCCCACGTGTTTGGCGACTAAGGGCCGAAATTAATATCCCATTTATCCACGATTTACGCTACTAGAGGTATTCGAGATATTAAGCTCCATACCTTTTATGTCGATATATATATAAACTCATCAAAAATATTTCAAGCCTTAAAAGCACAAAGAATCTTTCCCTACTTTAAAAGCTTCTAAGAAATGAGAGGAAGCCTGACACCTATTCGCCGTGTGGTGGCAGTGTAGTAGAATCCACAACCCACGTCACCCCGTCTGTGTATCTTACGACACGAAAATGGAAAATGGGAGATGGCATCAATATGTAATAGTGTGTAATAGCCTATAACAACTCAAAATAACAAAAAAACTGCGTGTACAATCTCTTCTAACAAGCGTGGTTACTGTGGAAATTTTCTCCATACATAAAATACTAAGGGAGAGGCCTCTGTTCTTAAGTTGATTTTCAATAAGTTGAATGAATGAATATGACGAATGATCCCAGCTGTGCTCAAAAAAATAAGTCGTAGGCTTCCAATTTTTTGTGATGGAATAGAAGCAATGAAATCTAGTCGAAGTTAAATTCTAAGCTATTCTAGTAAGCTTTATGCATTTACTGTTAAAAGCCCTTTCTTTTTTATAGGATAAGTGATAAACGAGCGTACAGTCCACCTGATGGTAAGTAGATGATGTGCTCTTAGACATTAACATTTATCCTAAATTAAGGATCAAAATGCAGATACGTTGTCATCACCTAAGGACTGAGATGGAATGGGTCGTTTCAATTAAAAGGTCTTCGATGCTCTACATTCGCCCTCCGCAACCCAGCAACATTAAGCTTCCACTGTTATGGACGACACACACGGTCAGTTGAACTGATCATTTCAACTGATCAGTTCAAATTGATATTCTTTAAAATATCGGGTTTTCGATATATCAATAAATAAACCTATTTATAAAATATATTGATATATTTATAATTATCGATATATTGAAAATCCAATATTTTAAAACAGTTTTAGTTTGAACTGATCAGTTCAAATGATCAGTTAAACTGACCGTGTATGGCGACCATTATTCTGAGAGGACGTGGTCAAGTCCACCCATTCGTGTTAAAACCTAATATAGCTGCAGCGCGACCCTACCACGTATAAAAATATATTATACCTCATCACATTGAAGATACTCCTCTTATTCCCTATCCAGCATCGGCATCCACGATATCGACATATTTGAAATTCAGTTTTACGACCACTTGTAAAGGACAGCCAAGTAAATTGGTCTGTAAAAAGCTTGATTTGTTTTATAACGGCCAAGTTGAGCTTTACATGGAATTCTGTTCTTATTTCTAGACCGGTGCACCCAAGTATTAGCTCCTTTGACTTTACTACATCTAATAAAAAGTGACTTGGATGGCGACGATAGAGGCCAACCTCTACTATACTTGCGAATTGCATCTATTTCTGCTACATATCTTTGTAGTTTTATCGCATATACTATGAGGAGTTCTCCGGGGAATTAAACGAGTAATTCGAGTCAAAATTTAAAATTCCATCCACAACACCTGCATGGTTTGTTATCAGCTTTTGTGCAATTTTCTAGAAATTTTCTGCCTACTTCTCTATTCTATTCTCTACTTATTATGGCTACTTTTTAGAATCTAATGCTACCATCAATTTCATGTATGCTTTGACATAAGAACCTTTAAGTGTTATAGGCTGGAGACCATTTTTACTGGAAACTAAACATTCCATCGTTGTTCTCAGGTGTGACAACGCATCTGTGTTTTGATTCTTGAAGGTAAATATTGATATATATGGGCCAAAGCATTTACTTACCATCAGGTGAACTGTGTGCTCGTTTGTCACCCACATTTTATTAAAAAAAATCTGGGAATAACTTGTTAACACCCATGTAAACACTTACCAAGGATACCCTGCGGAAATTCAGTCAATAGGAATAAAATGAGGACAGCCACGAGCATTTTTGTAGTTCGATCAGTTCTTCTTTCAGCTTTTGTACGTTTTGTGAACTTTCTCGTGAAAATGTTCCCATTGCCATTAACAACAGCAGGACATGCGTTATATCCCTTTAATGCTTTCTTCCTGCTATTCGCACGATATAAAACACGTATTAGCCATGCACTAATAACCGTTAAAATAACACATGGCAACAGTTTTATAAATACAGCATGGACCCAAAAATTGAGTTGATAAAGACTGCCGTCGTAGTCGGAGTCCACGTAGTAAACCTTCGATGCCACCTTGGTTGCGGTTTTATCAAATGAGTACTCGTTATGAATTGTAAATACCTGGAAGAGATGTTATTTGGATTTAATAACAGATAATCATTAAATAATCATTTAACTGATTTATATTATTACTTTATTATATTAAGTTTCTAATTATTTATTTATATTAATATTAATTTATATGTACATTAAAGTAAATTACAGCAATTATAATATACGTAACATTAAATAAAAATAATAAATAAAATTATAATATTTACAATTAATACTAATTATACACAATATAAAAGAAAGAAACTATAATATAGAAAAACTAACACTAAAAATTTAAATAGTCAACAATTCCTGCTTCCCGTAGTATTGTGCCAAGAACGCTGGCTGCGTTTCCTCGCTGAATAGCTATACTTAGTCTTTGAGCGAGGAAAGAACCAGCCCTCTTATCACCAGTAGCGACGACCAGCCGGGGATACAGTTCCTTTAGAAACTTCATTGCAAGTGGACCCCACGGACCGATAGTCTCTACAGCAAATGACACAAATATGTAGTCATTTCTCAAAGACTCATATTTGCGCCATTTACTTAAGTATTTGAATTATTTATAACGATTGTAATTTCCAAACAAAGAAACTACATACTCAACAGTTATGTTTTAAATTAATTAATATAAAAGTCTTAATTTTACAACTATCTTTTGCTCTCTGAATCAATAAGAATGAGCTTCATCGATTTGTTATGGGTGTGCGAAGGGCCATGGTCAAGAAAGTAATATTTTTGCCGCGTGGCATGTCAAGCAAACTTGTGTACGAACCGAAGTAGTAACCGTAAGAACATTATATTTATGCAATAGTAACAAAACATCAATCTTGGGTCCCTTACGACCTGGCACACACTATAAAGGAAGTTTATGTATTTAATGAATTGGATAATTAATTCAACTTAACTAATATTTTGCAAAATTTTATAGCAAACCGCTAAAGGCAACATTTGAAAAACTAAAAAAACAGTTAACGCTGCTACAAAATATAAAATAATTCCAACTATCTAAACAAGACCCACTTCTAAAAGCAGATAAAAATAAATAAATAAATTATAAAGCACACTGCTATACGTGTATAGACTAGATTAAGTAAAGTAGTTCAAAATAATCTTAAACACGTTATACAGAAAAATATTATTCCATTTTGATTTAGTTAGACATTATTTTGTACCCGCCACCTTTTATATTATACAACAAAAAATTCCCTTGACATCGGTATTACAATATCTCAAATAAATCACGGTTCAATAGTTCTGTGATTCAATGTAAAACAGATATAGCAATATCATTTTATGAAATTCTTATTATAGAAGTCGAAATGTATTTGGTTTTAATACTTACAAAATACGAAGGTATACAAAGGACAGGTGGAAGAAGAAAACTTATTATTATTGCCATTGAGCAACGTCTATCTGTACATAATGATGGACCATGTGACGGATACCTGAAAGTATAAAGTTTTTTAATATATAATAAAAATAGAATACAAAGTTTTTCTACGGGAATTATATTTAGGGGTATTTGAAAAGGACGAATAGAGAACGAAATGTGAAATATGGGTAAATCAGGAATGTCTAGAACAGGTAAATGAAATTGTATACTTGGGGAGTGCTTTCAGCCGGGACGGAAGATGTGATTTAGATGTGGAGGTGAGTCGCTGCCGGGAACAAAGTCAATGATGCCCTGAATGCGTTATTCAAAATGCAAGGCGTAGTGAAGAGTGCACGCCTTGCAATACATAACGCAGTGTTGGTATCGACTTTGGTATATGGCAGCGAAACCTGGGTACGCCAAAAGAAGCATAAAAGCAAGTTGAATGCAGTGGAGATGCGATCTCTTCGTAAAGCGAAACGAAGAGATTCGCAATATGGCAGGATTGAAAGACGACCTTATCACAAAAATTGATAGGGGCGTACTCCGATGGTTTAGGCGCGTTGAGCGAATGAGTGAAGACCGAATGGTGAAGAAAATGTATAGCGCGAAAGTAAATATTAAAAGGTGTCGAGGTAGACCGAGACTAACTTTCGAAGACCATGTGAGCAAATTACTCGAAGAGGGGAAGGTCAAGAGTACTCGGATACTTAGACGTGCATGTATGAAGAAGTTAATGAACCTGAAAGAAGCGAAAGAGGTATGTAAGGATCGTGACACTTGGCGATCTGTTCTCTCTGGCTACCCCGTTAGGGATTGTGCTTGAAGATAAGTAAGTAAGTTCTACGGGAATGGTTCAGTAATGGTTCGGAGTTTCCCTACGTAATAGAATAAAGTCTGTAACTATCACAAAGGCAGTAGAACCAGAGTCGATAACATAATCCAAAGGATTAGTAAACTGAGTAGCGTAACGGTAAGAGAAGTGTAAGACGTCGCCGCTACAAGATCTAATGACGACTTGGTAAGATGTACAGAAAGTCGACTAGTGTAAGAGGATCAAGACCGTGTTTTGTGACAGCCATTAGACGAGGCTTATTTTTGACAGTCAACATATAGGCATAGGCTTAGGCATAGGACAATAAACTTTTTTTGTTTTAACCATTTCACTATCCCGTGTGCAGATTGTTTAACTATTGAGTCTTTTTCGTGGACAAGGCGTATGTTAAGGGCCTATACTACCTCAAATGGCTTAGCAAGATCCTCCGTTATGCCGTAAATATTGCAGCATTAATTTTGAATATATATAATTTTGTATATAGTAAAGTTGAGCCTTGATGTTAAGTACTTAGTTAGACGAAAACACGATTCCGTAAAATTTTCTTGATAGCAAAAAAATTCAAAGTTACCTCCAAACTGAACATTAAAACCGCCAGTCTTCATAAAATACTTTAAATTAGATCATGAAACTTTGCATACTAACTAAAACAACTATAAAGCAGGGCTTATGTTTTTTAATTTTTTTTAAATTACCATTACTTTCACTGTAAAAAGAAATTACCTAAACTATCGGCGTGCTGAATCTTGTTCCCTGCCGCCTGATCAGTCTCGCTACAGATTTCGAACAGGAAAGCTGTGTCGCTTACGATCAGAATACACATTACGCAACAGGACGACGTAAAATTAAAGCGGGTAATAACCGTAATAAAAATAAGAAGCGACTTAGTTGGCGTAAAGAAACAGGCATAAATAAGATGAACCTTATGAATTAGGTATCTAACGACCTACAGTATTAGTGATTACAAACATGTCGGTAGATACCATACGACGCGCGAGGAAGTGGGGGCGAAATTAGAATTTGAGCTGAGGTAGTATAGGCCCTTAAGTATAATATGGTATTGTATTTATTGAGTAAAAATTATACATTATTGATTACTAATATGATATTGCTAAAGGTAAAAGAATTAAAAAATATATTTAAACAATCGAAAATACATTTCTTGTCAACGTAACAAACGTACGGTACTTATATTTAAATTGAGAGCCAGAAGTACATACTACGCAATTATTATACCAATAAGGTATTTATAAACTTTATATATATATATACCATTTAAACAATAAATTTCTAAACCAGTAGTTCTGTAAAAGGTAATAATTGTAGAAAACACATTTCGTCATACAAGAGATGCTAGTGGATACTTCCGTCAACCTAAAATCAAAAGAAAAAGCACACATTTTTTTTGCGCACGTTGTGTGAGTTTTGGCGTAATTAATATTTACATGGCGAAGTAGTGCAAATAGGGAAAATTTATGTATTATATGTATTACAAATACCGTAAATTAAATTAAATAAAACAATATAACAATTTTTTTACGTGGTAGAGCCATGCTGTAGCTATATTGTGGTGTCGGCACGAATTGGTCGGCTCGACCGGGGTAGCACCACGCTCTCACATAATACCAGCGTTAATAGCAGCTTAATGCTGCTGTCTTTCGTATGGTGAGTTTAGAGAACCGGAGAGCCTTTTTACTGCAAAAAAGGCATTCCATCTTAGTCTTCAGGGCTGGCAACGCATCTGCATTTTGATTTTTATTGAAGATAATTGAAGATGTCTCTGTGGTATGTGGTATGGTAGATTACACAGAAGATACTTTATAGAATCTAGGTGACAAACGAGCACAGGCTTGTTTATCACCTTTATTCTATAAATAAAAATATTACTAATAATATGTATGTCTCTAAGATCAATGTCAAAAACTTAATAGTCTGTGATCAAATAATCAACAGAGTAAAGGTTGTTGCCAAAGAATTTTAAAATGTTGCCAACAAATAATAATGACAGATTAACTAAATGAGGCAAGGCAAAAAAGCGATTAGTTAATATTTTTTTATACTAGATATGTGTTTTTTAGAATGATGTGTATTTGAAATAAAGCTTGCTTAATAGGTATACAAACCTCAAAATGTTATTTATTACGCTAGAATTCGACCCAGGCGACCACTCGTTTTAATGAACATGCATAACTAGACTCTAATACCGAAATTTGTGGGTTTACAAAAATTAGGGATTTGAATACAGAACATGCAATATAGTGATCAGAGTAGCTGGTCTTGAGGTCGTCTTGCTAATAAATATACACACTAAGCGGATGTTTCGGAAAATGTAATTTAATAAATATTAACGAAGACTGGAATGGACGTTTTCACGGTTCAATAAAGACACTACGTAACGATATTTTTCCAGCATAATATTAATCTGTAATGAGGAAAATTAAACACTGGATAAAACATGTAACATTTTTTACTTGGTAATGTTTATTGATTATTACTTTTGTCCTAATATAACTAAATAATACTCTTTATTGTATACCTAGCAAAGATTAACAAAAACGTTATAAATTAAATAAGCTATATTAAAACTACTTTGTTTTACTTACTTGATCGCTATGTACCGCCATATAGCAAGCGACAGCGTAAGAAGTATGGATGCAGTATGCAGGATTTGTGTGAAATGCATATGAAATAACATGTAAACAGCCCATGAATATGGCCGTTCTTCTTGCCCTGGCAGCAGCTGAAAATAAATTGTATTTAATATACGTATTAAATGAAGCAGCGTGTGTTAGTAGTGTAAAAAAAGAAAGCACATAAATGGCGGTACCATCTCTCATAATATATATATCAAATTTAAAGACCGATAAAGACTAAGCAGATCTAAAAAAAATAAAGAAAGAAAAAATAAAAAGGAATTCAATTCTTAAAAGCAACAGATGCAGTATACAAGGTTATTTTGCATTAATCGGCAAAATTTGCAGAGAAGGTTCAGAATAAATAATATAGGCAAATGGTGCATTATTTTAACTGATCTTTCTGTGTGCGTACACATTCGTAAGGGTCTATCGGTAGGCAAAAACGTTGTGGTCCATATATCACATTCAATTTGGAATGATTTCTAATAAAAGTAGAAGCCTTATTTACTCGTATTTACTGCAATAACAGTATATAATTATTTACATATTTGAACTTTAACTTTAAAATTTGGCTACTCTTTAAAAAATAACCCGGTATAGGTTCTTAAGTAGGGAATTTGTGACTTGTGCGCATTTTAGACTTGTGCGCATTGTAGACTTGTGGCATGTAGAGAGATGACGGATGCATCGCAATTATTGTTTATATACGCATACGTCATTCAACGTTGGACAAGTAATGGAGTGCCTAAATAAACTACTTCACGGATTAATATCTTCCACATGTGATTAATTTGTTGATCAGCCAAAAGATCTCCTGGTTTAAGAACCATCTGTACTGTAGACACAATTAGCGCTAATATGTTAAAAATTTAAATATTGATTTAGGTAAAAAATAAAAATAAGGATAAAAAGTCAGGGTTCCATGATGTTGTATAAAATTATAAGTGTCAAATAAAGAAATTATTATTATTATGTTTTAGATATTGTTGGCTTTACTATTTTATATATTGGAAATCAAACTTTTTCTATCGTTTTGCTAACTAAAATATATTATCAATGCAATAAAATACTTCTAGTTTATATCATAAAACATTATCCTCAGAGCACTAGTATCTTAACCCTTCAATCCCCATAAAAATCCCGAGCGGTCGCATTCGACCACACTCACCCATAGCACTTTAAACCAGTAAAACTCATATTATGAGACTACTTTTCTATGAAGAAGTTTGGAATTATAAAATTTATACAAAATTCTCTATCCTGTGATTTAAACAAAAGTCAGGTTTTATTCCTCTTCATTACAAAAAGATTTTATTGTATTTTGATAACAAAAAAAATATACCAAGCGGATGTCGGCAGCGTGAAAATCACAATTATTTCTATATATTACTCAAAATTATTTACGTGAAAGGATAAATTATATTCACACAAAAACTTTCATTAGGATTTTATAATAAAACACTATACTAATACACTAATAAAACACTAGAAAAATCAAAAAATCAACAAAATGGCATTGACACGAAAATGGCGTACGAAATGTTCCTAGATTATAAATAAATACCCATTGACTAACTGACTTTATATTCCACTAAAGGATAAGAAATTTCACATTGATTCTATAATGCCAAACTTCTTTACAGAAAATTAGTCTCTAAATATAAGTATATATGGGTTTAAGTGCTGTGGGCGGGTGCGGTCATATTTGACTTCTTAAATTTTGACGGAATATCGCCGTGGTCAAATTTGAACGCTTGGTAGGTAAGAGGTTAAAAGTGAACTGAATTTGTAACAATTCTGTAACACATATTGATGAAGGGCTTTTCATAACAATCATAATTATAAGTATTGATTTAATACTTACCATATATCTATAAATGGAGAAAGGGACGTACTCCATCATCACAAATACGTCAGCAACAGCAAGCCACTTCAGTAAGCGGTTAATGGGTGCCGCAGCTAAATCGCGTCGTGTCAGTACAGCTACATTAAAAGCATTCGCTAAACTACCGAATAGACAAATCTGGAAAAGTAATGAAATTAAAAAGATAGCAGACGCAACGTAAATTTAAGGGGAGGCCTTGTACATTATTTTGTTTTTTGGTGATAGATATTTATTTAATTGAATAGACTATATATCAAGGGTGATCCCTCTTCAAGAACATCCATCCCAACCCTTCGGGTGGGAAAAATAAACGAAAAATTAGGTCGAAATTTTTAATTTATCTATCTAAAGAGTTTACGGATATAGTTTATTCCACTCATGAAGGTCCAATAATTAAACTTTTAAAAAGTTAAAAACTTCAAAGAACTAAAAAATGTATAAAATAATTTTCACATAATTTGATAGCTAAACTAAATTAATGTGCTTAATTTTCGTTTAAAATCCTTTTTTATGAATGTAGCAAAACACATATCTTATAAAGAACACGTGACGATCAATACTCATTCGTTCTTCAGTTTCTGTAAATTGAACAACTTCGTTTTCAAAGGCTTCATTCATGTTTCCTTTCGAAATATCCATTCGCCTTAAGAAATTAATGTAATTGACACTAGCTTATTCCCATCGTTTCGCTCGACTGGACTTCGATTTATCCAAGTCATTCAAATGTTCATTCTGTGCCAAAATAAGCAAAATGGATCGATCACATATGAAATTACCCCGGCGTCTATTTGTCAATCAAAGATATTTTCTCAACCACTTTTTATTTAAATACAAACGCGGGGCTCAAAAATTTATTTTTTGACGTCAGTAAGAAACATTAATTTTGGGGGTGAAAGGTGACACATTATGTTGGTGAAAAAAATTTGCTATTACCCACTTTATCTATAATCATATAAAAATCTGTATCGGATAAAAATCTGGAAAATCATTTGAGTTATTGTTTAAGTTTTATTCGTTTTGTCTATTAATTATGTATATAAAATAATACTAAATTTCATGGTCTTCCTCTAAATTACGGCACATGTAGTGATGATATTTGGATCATTATTGATCACCAAGAAATTCGAATTCGATTCGGTTCCATTACTGGCTCAGGTAAGGAACTTACCAAAATACCATTCATAGCAGTTCTACTTTTCTTTAAAATAAAATCTTTCTCTTCTTTAAAACTTCCTAGTAATTTGCACTAATATTTACTCTTTTTAAATACTTGATTATTACTCTTAAAATAATGCTATAAATTTCATGGTCCTCCTTTAAAATCGGCACAATTTTGCGTTCAAGCGATTTTTGATGCATATTATTTATTGGTCTTATTGATTGACATTAAGAAAATATTAAAAAAGAAAAATTCTTACCTTTAGTTACCGTTACAGCCTACTGAAGTCCACTGCTGAACATAGGCCACCCTATTGCCATAGAGTAGGGGTATATTTGCCATAGTTGCCACGCTTCGGTTAGCAACGGCAGTTTTCTTATTTTTAGGCGTTATTATGAAGACGCGGCCCCATTTCTTAATTTGTTTCCCTCTGTAGCCTCTTACGACACCCACCGTATGATATGGGTCAGTGGATATTCTTATACCGATTTGCTTGCATGATGTGTGGGTCAAATAATGCAAATAAATTTTAAAACCAGTTCTACCTAACTGATTGTACTGATATTTTAAACACATTTTTAGTGCCGATGACAACTAACAATATCTACAATCAAGTATACTTAGATTTGTTTTTTTTTTTAGCCGCTCCGTATATTTCCTTTAGCAACCCTCTTGTTACTAGTATCAAAAGAAAGGACTTGTTAAACCCAAGAATACGTGACGTTATTCTAATTTCAATATGGCGGATAACCCAAGATGGCGGACGTTCTAAGTATATCACTTGATATTTTTCCTTAGAAATGCAGTCTTTTTCCTAGTATGAAAATTGTAGTGTTAGTATAAAGAGGTAACAAACAACATATGATATTATATCACAACGTACTGAATAGCGGCCCTTTGACTAGTTTTTTGCGCACCTCACACTATAATCAAAGTTTAGACTAAATCTTAACATAAGCCCTTTTAGCTTTTCTTTGAAGGCGGATCGATAGTCGTATTCATATTTATTGTAATCAGCTTTATAGTATTTATCCTATGTTTTTCCCGTATTTATCCTATGTTTTTTCTCCTTTAACACCTCTTTCGTAACCCTTAAGTATCCATGTATATTCGTATATATGTACATGGATACTTGTAGGTAACGAAAGAGGTGTCAAAGGGAAAACATACGTATGTATAATGGATTTTATTACAGCGTGGCAACACAGCTCATATTATTATTCAAAAATGTATCAATTCTTTCACTAAGAATTATCAACGAGAAGTATCAGAAACTTTTTTTTAATTAAATATAGATTATAAATAATATTTACTAAAAGTCACTCTAATGTTTTATTTACTACTGGTTCGGAAAAAAATTCTGTCGTGAAAAGAAGTAGCAACTACCCATAACAAATTAGTAGCGATCATTCATTCCTAGCGTTTATTATATAACCCATAAATTGCTTAATATTATAATAACTATTTTTATACACTCTTTTATGTAATGAAGTTTTTGAACTTGGTTGTGGATAAATTTTGTATATATTCCGGGATTTTCTTGTAAAAAAGTATACACCTACCTCAATAATTTATTACTAAGTATGTAAAGTCGAATTTAGTAGTTTCTTAGTATTTACAGAATAAATATCACCTATTTATTTAAAAATTACTTTATTTTAAATTTACTTTTTTATTTCATTAAAAAAATTCTTAGAGAGTCTTTAGGTTTTAATTTGTAGATTGTTCTTATGCCCTTCTTCCAAAAAATCAATATAATTTCAGTATCAGTCTCGGGTTCCCATACTACACTTTGCTATAGAAATAGCTGCAATAAACGAGCTGTTTTGACGCTGAAAAGATTTATAATCTTTTTTAGAGCATAGATGTACAACTAAGTCTGCTTGCTAGTTTTTAAAATATGAGGAAGTAAGATTGTTTACCGCCCATACACTGTTAGACTAAGAACCAACAGAAGCGTAAATTTACATTCTAAATTATGTATATAATCAATTGAAACTAAATTAAAATCTCAGACACTTTTGTCAATCGTAAAAAAATTCAAAATATTTTCAGATTTTTCATTGTTATCATTATATTGATAAGTCATTTCGGTATTTGTTCATTTAATACGTCACATTAGAAATATGATAGTAATAACTTGGCGTAAATAATACGTTTAAAGAATTTCTATCTAGTCAGTCAGTATAGTAGTCAGTATCTAGTCAAAAATGATTTATATTTTGTAAGTAGTACTAGGGTTACCCATAACCAACAACAAGTAATAATATGCATTTTACAATGAATACTACCTACGTGCATAAAATCACGCTTGTTTACAGGGCAGATTCTATGCCATATTCTAGATGCACATCTGGCTGCAACTGAGAATTTAGAAAAATCTAAAAACACTGCACGACCCAGGAATCAACCCACGACGCAGCCGCGCTACCTCTGGGCCGGTATTTACACCGGCATTCAAGAGGAAGTAAACGGCTTTTGCAGGACTTTAGAAATATCTAAGCCCTATAAATACCTAATAACTAGTTAATATAGAAAAAATCTAAATATTTATGTCACTAAATAAAAACAAATTTTGTATTAGAACATATTAATTATTGAATTTATTATATTAAAAGACGTATATTTTCTCACGTGTCATCTATCCATCGATCACAAAAGGAGGGTCGTCTACATTTTCTACTAAACTCGATCGAATCGGTTCGATGGTAGAGGTGGGCTTGGGCGCATCAACCAATATTTCTGCACCTAACAATGCATTTACAACAGTATTGCTTAAGTGCGTGTCTAATACCAATTTGAGTAGCGTCTACCAAAATAAAAACGAAGTAGTTTTTTGCTTTCAATCGTTTTAATGTATTTGTTCTAATCTAATTGTTGTACGAGGAAAGGTTATGGCATCTGTTTTTTGGGACGCTCAAGGCATAATTATGGTGGAATATTTGAAAAAGGGAGCCACTATTAGGGGCTCTTACTACGCAGACCAAATAAGAAAATTACGGGAGGCCATTAAGGAAAAAAGACGCGGCAAACTGCGAGCTGGAGTGCTGTTTCACCAAGACAACGCACCGGCTCACAAAGCCGTACTTGCGATGGCTGCCATTCAAGAAACGGGATTCTCTGCTACTCTCGAACACCCTCCCTATTCACCAGACCTAGCTCCTAGTGACTTCTACCTCTTTCCTCGGCTCAAGGAACGCCACCGAGGCAAGAAATTCAAAGACAATAGCGAAGTAATGGCCGCTATTGAAGTATTTTGGGAGGGTCAAGACAAAGAATTCAAAGGGAATCCTGGGTTTAGAAAAAAAGATGGACTAAATGTATTGATTTGTTAGGAGACTATGTAGAAAAATAAATTATTATTTTAACTTTAATTACCGTGTTTTATTTTCATTATCATTACTTTTGGATCACCCCTGCTTGGATTTTTTTTAAATTATTGTGCACACTTTCTGCTCTTTCTGCCTAGTCAAACAATCTAAAAAAACATGGCGCCGCCGGGAAACAAAGCCATTAAAGTGATACTATTTTGAAATCGTTTTCGAAATTCAAAAGTATCCGTTCTAATGTAATTACTGAAATGTAATTCATAAAAAAAACTAGTAATTATCGTAAAGGTTTCATAAATGTTGATTCTTAGGCTGATTTGAACAATTTTCTCTTAATAGCTAGTTTAGATATAAGAGGAATCCATTGAAGCTTCATGTCTGGGATTCAACAAAAATGGTGGTCAAAAAAACAAGAATCAACTCCTACACAATTAAAATTACTTTAGTATTTTGATGTTCGACATTTGGAATTATGAATTTCATTCAGTTATCCGAAAAACTATTGTCCCTTTAAATATTTTTTCATTTTAATAGCCTTGTGGAATATTAAGAGACGATAATAAGAGACCCGTAGGTACGGCTTTGGTCCCTTTGCAAAGAGATAAGGCATCTTTTCAGTTGCATAGCAACATCTCAGTTGTGCGTAATTTAGAGTGGAAGCAGCATCAGAAGTGGCGCATATTAGTGCCTTTGCTATAGACTATGTCCGTGGGACCTACGTGCGTTGAAAGGTCGTAACGAAACTATATCCGGTGACTTGTCATCGCCACTGTTGATGAAAGAGCTGGTTTTATTTCCTGCTCAAAGACTAAGTATAGTAGGACTGTATGATAATTTAACTTATTCGTAAATAAATGAGTTCATTAACTTTAAAGTTTTATTGAATAAAACTAAATTTACGGATTTTATCGCGTTTATTTCACTACTTTTACTTATTTTTAATTCCCGACGTTTCGGGTGCTTTACAGCAACCATGGTCACGGGGGGAACTGAAATGTTTGACGTCCTAATGTCATAGTTAGTCCGGCTACCTTCAGTTTTTGAATATTAAATTTTGGTCCGATTTACGCAAAACGAACTTATAGTATCATGAAGTCTTGCAGTGGTATGCTTAGGTTTGGGTTTAATTTTGTTAATTATAGGATCCCAAGCAGGTGGCAGCACCCATCCATCTTCTCTATTGAAATTTAGATGTTTTTTAATTTCAATAGCCTCGCGTATCATCCTTGGTAGGAATCGGTGTTCTTTTGCGAGAATTTGTGGTTTATCAAAACGAATGTAATGGTGGGGACGATCTTGAACATGTTCGCAGACTGCAGACTTCCCGGAGCGTCGGTGCTTCACGTCAGCTATATGTTCTTTCACGCGGGTTTTTATGGATCTTTTTGTTTGACCTATGTAAGAGAGACCACATTCACAATCTAACTTGTACACTCCTACATCTTGTAGAGGGATATTACACTTGACGGATGGTAAAAATTGACTAATCTTCTTCGGCGGCTTGTAGTATGTTTTAATAGAAGCTCGCTTCAAGATGTAGCCAACCTTGTCTGTGACTCCTCTGACATATGGTAGTACAGCAGGTACACGCTCGACTGTGGCCGGCTTCACTCAGTCACTGTGACGTAGGCGCGGGACCCGAAGCTTGTTGTCTTGCAATACTTGCTTGACGTGCTGAAGTTCGGCGGCCAGATGTTTTCTGTCACAGATCCCTAGTGCTCTCTGAAACAAAGATTTACCCACGGTAGCTAACTGTGAAGGATGATGGTGAGATTCACCATTTAAATATCGGTTGGTATGGGTCTTTTTTCTATACACAGTGTGACCAATTGTGTTATTAGGATTTCGAATGACTAAAACATCTAAGAAAGCTAAAGAATTATTTGCCTCTAACTCCATTGTGAATTGTATTTTAGAGTTTATAGCGTTAAGGTGGTTTAAAAATGCAGTTGCTTTGTCAGATGGTAAAATTGTGAAACTGTCGTCTACGTACCGCTTGTAGAATCTTGGATTTACAGGAGCAGTAAGAAGGGCTTTCTCCTCGAAGTCCTCCATGAATATGTCAGCGACTATGGGAGATACAGGTGAGCCCATCGCCACACCATCTACTTGCTTGTAGAACTCCTCCTTCCACAATAGATAGCCAGATGTGAGGCAGTGTTTGAGTAATACTGCATATTCAGCAGGTATGTTATTATATTCTAGCTTCCTAGTTACAATTGATATGCAGTCTTCAATAGGTAGGCATGTGAATAGTGACTGAACATCAAAACTGACCATAGTTTCATTGTCAGCGAGATGTAGGTCTTTTATCTCACTAACAAAATGGTATGAATCCTTTGTGTGTGCTCTGGTATGTCCTCTCAGTGGTGACAGTACTTTTGCCAAGTGTTGTGCCAGCTTATAAATAGGTGAATCGATCTGGCTCACTATAGGACGTAGTGGAGCATTTGGTTTGTGTATCTTCGGTAACCCATACAACCTCGGTGGTTTGGTACATGATGGTATTAGCGAATTCACGTCGAGATTTAATGTTTCGGAGTGTTTCTTTATTAAATCGCTAGTTGCTTTAAGCGTGTTAGTTGTGGGGTCTGTTTTGACCTTTTTGTATGTACTTTCGTCGGATAAAAGCTGTAGTATTTTAAAATTATACTCTGACGTGTCCATTATTACCGTAGCATTTCCTTTATCCGCGCGGAGAATCGTTAGATCTGGTCTGTTCCGTAAGTTAATCAACGCTGTAAATTCGTCTTTAGGAAGGTTTGGCTTCGGCACTGAACTACGACGTAACAAGAACGAAATATTTTGACGTATAGCCTCCAAATCTTCCTTACCAATATTATTTTTAAACAGACAATCAAAGAAAAATCCCGTACGAAGAAATTATCTGCAGCGTTGAGGATTGTCTGACAAAAAGGTCAAAACAGACCCCACAACTAACACGCTTAAAGCAACTAGCGATTTAATAAAGAAACACTCCGAAAAATTAAATCTCGACGTGAATTCGCTAATACCATCATGTACCAAACCACCGAGGTTGTATGGGTTACCAAAAATACACAAACCAAACGCTCCACTACGTCCTATAGTGAGCCAGATCGATTCACCAACTTATAAGCTGGCACAACACTTGGCAAAAGTACTGTCACCACTGAGAGGACATACCAGAGCACACACAAAGGATTCATACCATTTTTTTAGTGAGATAAAAGACCCACATCTCGCTGACAATGAAACTATGGTCAGTTTTGATGTTCAGTCACTATTCACATGCCTACCTATTGAAGACTGCAGATCAATTGTAACTAGGAAGCTAGAATATAATAACATGCCTGCTGAATATACAGTATTACTCAAACACTGCCTCACATCTGACTATCTATTGTGGAAGGAGGAGTTCTACAAGCAAGTAGATGGTGTGGCGATGGGCTCACCTGTATCTCCCATAGTCGCTGACATATTCATGGAGGACTTCGAGGAGAAAGCCCTTCTTACTGCTCCTGTAAATCCAAGATTCTACAAGCGGTACGTAAACGACAGTTTCACAATTTTACCATCTGACAAAGTAACTGCATTTTTAAACCGCCTTAACTCTATAAACTCTAAAATACAATTCACAATGGAGTTAGAGGCAAATAATTCTTTAGCTTTCTTAGATGTTTTAGTCATTCGAAATCCTAATAACACAATTGGTCACACTGTGTATAGAAAAAAAACCCATACCAACCGATATTTAAATGGTAAATCTCACCATCATCCTTCACAGTTAGCTACCGTGGGTAAATCTTTGTTTCAGAGAGCATGAGGGATCTGTGACAGAAAACATCTGGCCGCCGAACTTCAGCACGTCAAGCAAGTATTGCAAGAGAACAAGCTTCGGGTCCCGCGCCTACGTCACAGTGACCGAGTGAAGCCGGCCACAGTCGAGCGTGTACCTGCTGTACTACCATATGTCAGAGGAGTCACAGACAAGGTTGGCTACATCTTGAAGCGAGCTTCTATTAAAACATACTACAAGCCGCCGAAGAAGATTAGTCAATTTTTACCATCCGTCAAGTGTAATATCCCTCTACAAGATGCAGGAGTGTACAAGTTAGATTGTGAATGTGGTCTCTCTTACATAGGTCAAACAAAAAGATCCATAAAAACCCGCGTGAAAGAACATATAGCTGACGTGAAGCACCGACGCTCCGGGAATTCTGCAGTCTGCGAACATGTTCAAGATCGTCCCCACCATTACATTCGTTTTGATAAACCACAAATTCTCGCAAAAGAACACCGATTCTTACCAAGGATGATACGCGAGGCTATTGAAATTAAAAAAATATATAATTCAATAGAGAAGATGGATGGGTGCTGCCACCTGCTTGGGATCCTATAATTAACAAAATTAAACCCAAACCTAAGCATACCACTGCAAGACTTCATGATACTATAAGTTCATTTTGCGTAAATCGGACCAAAATTTAATATTCAAAAACTGAAGGTAGCCGGACTAACTATGACATTAGGACGTCAAACATCTCAGTCCCCCCCGTGACCATGGTTGCTGTAAAGCACCCGAAACGTCGGGAATTAAAAAATAAGTAAAAGTAGTGAAATAAACGCGATAAAATCCGTAAATTTAGTTTTATTCAATGTGTAGTGTTCGCGTAAATAATTAAGAAATTTAAAGTTTTATTTCATTATATTAAGTATCTGGTCAAAAACGACGAACGAACGAAAAAACGCCTATTTACTCAAAAATCTTAGGCAGAGCCCCAGAAGTATACTGTAATACACCCTGTTTGCCTGCGCTTATTTATGAGGGCATACTATGCCATATTCCATACACACATCTTGAGATTTTCGAACCTACGATGCAGCCGTGCTAACTACCTCTGGACCGGTATTTACGCCAGCATTCAAGAGGAAGTAAACGGTATTTGCAGGCGTACTTATATTTCTAATGCTTGACAAAAACACCCAATGCCCCCTAAGGACTTGCCTTGCTACTGCCATGATACGCTAATTCGTAACTATACAATGTTAGAAGTTAAAGTTCATACATATAATACTAACAATTAAAATATCTTACCAATAAACTGACGTAGCCGTGAATGCCGTTGTATGCTACAATAACGTCTCGAAATTCTCCAGAGCAATAATCCGAACGATCGCATTCCTTAATAACTGATATATTATATCTGTTTCTCCAGTCCTCCAACGCTCTCAGAAGTTCTCCAATCTTCGTACTATGATTATTCCCTCCATACTTTAGAATCGATATCAATCGCGTGTCATCGAACAAGCTAAAAGTGTCGTTCGCTGTGGTGCTGCTATTGTTCTCAACGGCGTATTTGTGACGCGCGTCATCATCGGCCAGCATTGTGATCGAGACGGTGTTTTGTTCATCACTTAGCACAAAAAACTATTTTTATATCCGTTGCTTCGGATCAGGTGTTGCTTGCATTCATTGGCCTTCATGTTGCTTCATACTGTACGAATTATTTACGATGTTTCGTCTGCTTACTGACTCTGTAAAAACAAATTTGTTAAAAAGGTAATAAGCAGATATTATGATTTCGTTATTATTAAATAAATAATTTAATGTAAATTAATGTAATTTTTTTTAAGTTGAGGGGTTGGGCAGAGGCATCTTCCTGATAACAACCCAATTTGTTTTTAAAAACTGCGGTTGCCAACCTCAGGAAGGTTCAAGCGGCTACTATGATTAAATCCTAACATGAGCAAATCTATGACCCTCTCATAGATTTAGCCTATTTCCTCCCTGAGTCTATGATTAACAGTGGACTTTTATGGATTGTAATGGATGGATTTAAAACGGTGGTTTGGTCATGTGGAAAGAATGACAAAGAAAATTTATGTTGCAGAAATGAATGGCAGAGTCGGAAAGGGACGTCCTAGGCGAAAATGTATCGACCAAATTGGCGATTTGTTGAAAACGGGCCAAATTAGGAGCACCCTTAACCGACGAGCATATATGCGTAGTTATATGGATGTGAAGACATAGGCGACAGAGGTGTGTCAGGATCGTGCCAAATGGAAGTCAGTAGTCTCTGCCTACCCCTCTGGGTGACAGGCGTGGGTGTTTATGTTTAATTTTTCCTTTTTTTATTCATGTTACCTAAAACATTTAATGTACAAAGTACACTCTACTCCAAGTATTGTAGCCGTTGATTTATTTAGCAGTTTCTTTAAAAGCGCATACGCCCGTAGTTCCATTTCTATTTTGATTTCGATTTCGATCTATTTCAATTTAAATTTAAAAATTTCGACATCGATTTTGATTCGGGTGTCCAGTGGCAGATTTCAAAGTTTGAATGAACCAGGTTTTCGAACGCAACATGCGAGAGTGGCGCGGAGAGGGTAATTCGAAATGCAAGCACTGCGGAGTGCGGATTTTTTAGTAGACATGGAGCAGTGGAGTGGAGAGCACCGCGCTTTTGCCGTTGAGGCGTAAATTTTGAGTGGTTATTCGCTGTCTGAAGCACGCCGTCGGCTTAATACTCCTTACGGTATTCGTCGATTACGTGATAGACCATCGATGAACCTCGTTCAGTTTTGGGTAGCAAGGTTCAGAGCTACAGGATCAGCATTAAATAGATCCAGGCCGGGACCAACACCAACGGTAGCTACGGAGGAAAATCTTTAATGAGTTATAGCTTCCGTCATTGAAAATCCTTGTTTATCACTTCGTGCACGTTCATCGATATTGGAAATTACGAAATCAACTTTACAGGTTATAAAAAAACTCAATTTTCACCCACACGAAATTCAAATTGTCCAAGATTTACACCTTTCTGACTTTGCATTAAGAAAAAGTTATGCGGAAATGGTGTTGTTGAAATTTCGTATTGTTACTCGGATGGATAACATATTCTTTAGTGACGAAGCCCATTTCCACATTGGAGGATATGTAAATAGGCAAAATTTTCGTTATTGGGATGTTTTCAACCCAAGACAAATGCATCAAGAGCTATAAACCTAAAGTTACAGACTGGTGTGCAACTGTCTGCGTCTGTCATAATAGGGCCGTATTTCTTTGAAGATCAATGTGGCCAAACTGTCATAGTTAATTCGGAGAGATATGTTAATTTTTAGACTACAATTGCAGAATACTTTATATTTCAACCGAGACACGTAGTTCCAGCAGGACGGAGCTACAGCTCATACTCCTAGTGTGTAGTATGAATGCAGTGCGGCAGTTATTTCCTGGAAAAAACATTACCCGAAACGGCACCATACGGTGGCTGCCTAGGTCACCAGATTTAACTCCGTGTGATTTTTTCTTATAGGGATACTTAAAATCTGTCGTTCACAAAACAAAATCGAATACTGTGACACGCTCTGTAAACGCGTTTTTGAATACATGCGTGATCGACTCGAGGAATGCGTCAGGGTCGATGGTTACCATTTGGCAAACGCGGTTTTCAAAAAATAAAAACCGCAATAAGTTGTCTTAATATTTAAATAAATGTAATCTGTATTAAAGGTAAAAAAGTAGTTTATTTTTTTACAAGTCTTTAAAATTTGCAATCTACCACTGGACCCTTGTCAATGTACTTATAATGTTATTTTAAAAATTTGATTTTGAAAAGCAATGAATATAAAAATAGCTTATATTAATTTTAAGGGTCATCATAGCAAAAAAGAATAATGAGATTAACTGTAGTTTACGTTATTTTTTGTAGCACAAGGTATTAAAACTTGTTTAGTTTTTAGAACTTTTTAGCCTGGTCCACCGACTTTGTAAAAGTTTTCATACAATATACAGAATCAGGCGTTACTTTGCGGAAATCCAATATATTAAAGATGTAAATAATTATATAGATGAGGCTCACGTTAAAAATAAAATAAAAATTATGTGTCTTCGCTAGATTGACGATTAAATACCTAATCAGCCGACGGGGATAACAACTGAGAGGGAAGGAGGTACCTTTCATACGTCATAGTTTTTTAACAGAGAAGATGACTGTTGAAATAGTAAAATGACAATCGAAAGCATAATGTTGCGCGCCACAGCTGATGTCAGGCACTAGCGCCATCTATTATCAAGAATCAAGAACTAAGCTTTCTATAAAACTCCACACTCGAACTTTCTACACCTAGTCGGTCGGGACCGGTATTTGCTGGAAAATTCTAGATGTTTCAGTGGAAAAGGCCTACATAAAGCCGTTTAGGGGCCGCGACCGAAGCAGTATTGAATTGACGATACAAGTGAAGACTTAGGAGCGAAATAAAGTGAACTAAAGTGTTAAGTGTGATTAATTATTATTGTGATTTTAGTTTTAATTAGTGTTCAATAATTAAGGTGTCAATTTTGGCAATTCAATCAGCAGTTTTAGTTGTCACGAACCCTAAGCTTGTAACAATAATATTTTCGTAAATCATAGCTTTCACTATAGTAAGTACTTTAAATCGATAAGCAATAAAAACACAGGTTAATTAGATAAAATTTTCGAAATAATAGTTTTTATTGTTTTCAGAATTAGGTCCAATATACTTAGTTTTATTTTGTTGTTTTCAAGCTTATTGTTATACTAAAAATAATTTTCACCCGTTGAAACAAATCTACAGAATTACACAACTAATTAAACATATATTCGAGAATATTGTGTTTGGTATCATCACAAACCACGAGTAAAATTATAATTCCGAAGAACTGTGCAAAGTAATGTAAGTAGGTAAAGTAATGTAAGTAATAAGATTTTAAGCAATTGCCATTTTTACACCTGGTAGGGCCACGTTGCAGCTATATTATGGTTTTAATACGGATGGGTCGGTTTGACCGAAGAAGGATCACGCTCCCAGAGAATTGAAATTTTGTGAGAGTGAGTGAGCGAGTGAGAGTAGAAAACGTGTAGTGGAAAACACACTGTACCTACATTATATATCGTCATCTAATATTACCTTAACCACTAACATATTTGCGATAGTCAAAAACTGGTAAGAGAATACTTTAGCTTTGACTGCGGCAGAAAGCACAAAGCAAATCAAATCTTTGAGTTCATTGATGAATCGACACATAAATTAAGGGATAATTTGGATTATTCCACACGCGGAACTTTTGTCACGACAAAAGTGGGATATTTATAATAAAACTAGCAGCGCATTGGTTGAACTAATATAAGTTACCAACAAAATGTTCTAATAATTATTAATATTTGTGACAGTTTGACGATTCCTTGCTCGCGAGGGCAACATAATGGTTAATTCTAATGCAAACCACACGCTATTTGGCTCTTCACAATTGGTTGAACTAATATAAGTTACCAACATTGGTTGAACTAATATAAGTTACCAACAAAATGTTCTAATAATTATTAATATTTGTGACAGTTTCACGATTCCTTGCTCGCGAGGGCAACATAATGGTTAATTCTAATGCAAACCACACGCTATTCGGCTCTTCACAATTGGTTGAACTAATATAAGTTACCAACATTGGTTGAATTAATATAAGTTACCAACAAAATGTTCTAATAATTATTAATATTTGTGACAGTTTGACGATTCCTTGCTCGCGAGGGCAACATAGTGGTTAATTCTAATACAAACCACACGCTATTCGGCTCTTCACAATTGGTTGAACTAATATAAGTTACCAACATTGGTTGAACTAATATAAGTTACCAACAAAATGTTCTAATAATTATTAATATTTGTGACAGTTTGACGATTCCTTGCTCGCGAGGGCAACATAGTGGTTAATTCTAATACAAACCACACGCTATTCGGCTCTTCACAATTGGTTGAACTAATATAAGTTACCAACATTGGTTGAACTAATATAAGTTACCAACAAAATGTTCTAATAATTATTAATATTTGTGACAGTTTGACGATTCTTTGCTCGCGAGGGCAACATAGTGGTTAATTCTAATACAAACCACACGCTATTCGGCTCTTCACAATTGGTTGAACTAATATAAGTTACCAACATTGGTTGAACTAATATAAGTTACCAACAAAATGTTCTAATAATTATTAATATTTGTGACAGTTTGACGATTCCTTGCTCGCGAGGGCAACATAGTGGTTAATTCTAATACAAACCACACGCTATTCGGCTCTTCACAATTGGTTGAACTAATATAAGTTACCAACATTGGTTGAACTAATATAAGTTACCAACAAAATGTTCTAATAATTATTAATATTTGTGACAGTTTGACGATTCCTTGCTCGCGAGGGCAACATAGTGGTTAATTCTAATACAAACCACACGCTATTCGGCTCTTCACAATTGGTTGAACTAATATAAGTTACCAACATTGGTTGAACTAATATAAGTTACCAACAAAATGTTCTAATAATTATTAATATTTGTGACAGTTTGACGATTCCTTGCTCGCGAGGGCAACA